CTTCTGCTTCTCCAGTTTTCACCTGAAAGCAAAGGCATCAGCTGCTCCCCTGGGTGAGCGAGCACGAGGTGAGTTCATACAGAGCTGAATCTGCTGCTGCAGGCAGACATCTGAGCCCTTTCATCTTTACTTTGCCACCCAAATTGATGGAGCTTAGGAAAAATCAATACACCCAGCAGAAGGCAAATGAAATAGGAGATGCAACCTCTATCCTTTTTAGAACATTCGGGTTTAAACAAGTTTTTTTTTTTTTTTTTTTTTTTTTTCTTTAAGAGTGATTCTGGGCAAACCTGAGCTATGTGGGCAGAACTCTTCAAATGAAATATTTTAGAATCTTTTGAATGCACCCTTTTTAGGCCCATCTTATTCAAGGAAAAAGCTTACCTGGAAGTTCAGGAGTTAGGAATGTGGATGTGCACATGTGTGTGTGTGCATATGCATATGCATATGCATGTGTATGTGTGTGTGTGTGTGTGTGTGTGTGTGTGTGTGTGTGTGTGTGTGCTAAGTGGAAATGAAAACCCTGTTGGCTAATCAATGGGCAAAGTTTGAGTCCAAAATCTGAAGATAAATGGAAGAAACAGTAGAAAAGAATTGGAAGAAGCAAGTGCATACAGTTATCCAAGCTTCCCCACCTTAAGTAGGAAATTGCCCAGGATCGGAGCTACTCCACTGTCATCCTACAGCCTAGCGTGCTCAGCACTCTCCCAACATGGAATTCCTCATCTGCTCACACACCTCTGTTCTTAGGCATGTGACAACTTTATCTCTCCTGTACTCATCTAGCCAAATTCCAGTGTTGAGATTACTTCCTCTACAAAGGCATCCATGAACCCCAAACTTTGGGGCAATCCTTCGTTTTCTATGTGGATCTGCACATTTTTTTATGTCTCTATTAGTCACGTATCACTGTGCATGTCCATTTACCATTTTGTCATTTAGATAATTTAAGAAATGCTGTAGAATACATTAACACGGAACTACATTAAAAAACTGTGAGAAGTACAGAAATAGTGATCTGCTTATCTTTCTTTAACTCAGAGTTACCCCAGTTTATTCAGTCGTGTAGCACCTTCTTCACATAAAGAGTAGTACATGCAAGAATTGATATTTCAGGGAAAAGTTAGCTCTTATGATCTCTTTGAAGCTGCTGTTTTTGTGTCATCAAGGATGCAGAAATATCTGACAGATATAAAGAGCTTATCATGTGTCTGTTGAAGAAATGAATGAGTGAGTGAGGAAGGAAGAAGCCTCCCTCTCTTGCGTGGGCTCTGTCCAGACTAACTGCACAACTCCACAGACTCCTTCTCAGGAGACTTTCTGTCAGCCCTAGAGCCAGTGTCTCCTTTCATCCTCCTTGCTGCCATCAGGAGACTGAGCAGTGTTAGTCAGTAAAGCTGGCTGCCTTTGGGGGTGCTTTAGGACAGCCAAGAAGAAGAAGACAAAGGGTGGAAAGAGGGGGAAGGGGCAACAGGAGAGAGGAGGGAGCAGGAGAGAAAGACTGAGCAAGTGTAGTGACCGGGGTGACAGCCTGTACCAGCGGGTCTCAGTGCTCCTCAAGGTGACCACACCACTATGCCATCTCACCCCTTCTAATTAAGACTTTAGAAAAGTTGGTCCTTTTTTCCCCCTCACTTCTTCCTCCGGTTGGCACTTTTCATTTGTCCTAAGGCCATATGCAGTGGGGTCTAAGTATCAAGAGAGACCCAGTACATTTTGAAACAGATCCTAGTGAGTGGTGAAGTTGGAGATTTTGATGTTAGCAGTAGGCAAGGAGCACAAGGTACACCTTGGAGATCACCGATGGCATGTTCCTCATTTGCAAACAGGCTGAGGGACACTCTAAGAAGTTAAGGGATTGCTCAAAAGCAGAGCACACTCATAGCCAGGCCTGGGGCCCAAGCTTTCCAACTCCTCTCTCATGCTCCTTTATCCCTCAAGGACACAAATACGGCCAGAGGTTCTGAAGTCGCAGGTGAAGGATGAGGGCCACAGATTGCACTCCGAGAACACAATCACACGGATTAGCCCATACCTAGGCTTCCTCCCCTGAGAAAAGGAACACAGGGTCTCCCCACCCAGATGAAGCTTGACGTCACTGAGGAGAAAAAGCGATGCACTCAATACAAAGTCAGGCTCAGGACTTTGGTTAGCCAGAGGATTTGACTTTGGAACTCACTTTTCAGTGATTTGGATAAAGCTGTCTAAATTTGTTCCACAAGATGATTGTGATAGTGATACCAAATGATTATTGAAACTTCAATTTATTGGCTTTTTAAGATTCTTTCTACTCCTTGCATTAGATTTTAAGGTAAGACAGAAAAGCAATCTTAAAATGATACATATGCAGGATGGCTTGGATAACTGTACATCCTCATCATGTGGACTTCTACTGGTCTAGGGGAAGGAGCAGTTAATGCTGATTTTTTTCTTTTTTTCATTTGTTCCCTCTTTTTCTGTTCTTAATTTCTTATATTTTTTTCTTTCTTTTTCCAATTTTGCATGCATATATATCTGGTAATCTGAACAACTAAGTTAAAGACAACTCTATGCAATGAAACAAATACCGCCAAATTCATATTATTTTGTTTAGTGAAACTATATTTTATATTCTCTTTAAAAAATAAAATAAAATTTAAAAAAGATTAGCCTAGTACCACACATAGAGAAAAAGTTACTTTGCTTTTCTTTTTGAAACTCCAAAGGTGGTTCAGTTACTTGCTTTATTTTTTAAACAAAGGTCTCAGGGGATGTTGCTTTGACTTAGCCCAACTGACTGAAAATGCTCCTGCAGACTTGGGGTGAATGTGTGGAGACTGGTTACCATCTACTCTCCACAGAACGGTTGCTTCCACTGAGGCTTCTGCAGTGGCCCAAATGGAGACCGGCTGTGTCTTTAGGGTTTGAATATGGGCCATACACAGGACAGTCTCAATCTTTTGCCACTGGCAAAGGCTCTAAACATGATTATTACTTTTTAATGGGAAGTAAGTACTTTTCTTTTTTCTGATCTCATTTCCTTATGTGAAGGACCCTAGCGGTGTCTAAAGAAATAGTTTGTTGAATACTCTTTTCCTCTTCTTGCTCTAGCTTTCTGTCTTCCACCTGCTGAAATGATCACCTTCAGGTTCATGCTCCTCAACACAGTACTACGAAAGCAGCTCTCCCCTGCTCACAGACCTCCAATGGCCTCCCATTGTAAATAAATAAATAAATTGAATTTCCTTGCCTGCACTCAACACCTCGCAGCATCTGCCCTACCCTGTTTTCTCAGCTGTGTCTCAGTGCTAATTACTTCTTGCAGAAGACATCTCTGCATCACTAATCAACCCTCCCGCAGAGTCTCTGCTTGTCAAAAATCACACTACCCCTTCACAGTTTACTTCCTTTATACTGAATTCTAAGAGATCCAGGCAATAAGCATTTTAACGCCCAGCACTTTTCTTCTGGGCAGAGAAGGACCACTCTCATAGCACTCGACACGTAGGGCTTTGTCTTGGATCCATTTGTGGAGGAAACCTCTTTCCCTTTCTTGAATGCATATTCCTTGAAGCTAGAAAGAGGCCTGGAGCGTGTCATTCTCCCCATTATACCTAGTTCTGGGGCGACTGAATAAGAACTCTGGAGACAAAGTTAGTTTGTGCTAAACAAGCAAGCTCCTGAGACTCCAGTCCCTTACAGGTGGTCAGTTACAAGTATGGGGCCCTAAGAAGCCTGAACAAGTAGAAAAAGAAAGAAAAGCTGTAGCATAAATGCTGTACAGGAACGTCAGCCCACGTCTTGTCAGCCTTGTATTGCTTTTTTGAAAATATTCATTAACTGTGAAAATCCTGAGAAAATTTACATTTAAAGTGCTTTTCTTCCTGATTATCTTTAAAAAATCAAAAAGTCTAGCAGAGATCTCAACAGAGCTCCTATTGCCAGAAGTCACAAATGCACCGCAGCTGCGCAGCGTTTGCACCACTGAGTCTTGGCCCGGTCTTCACTCCCCCCACGTCACTCTGCCTGCCTGGACCCCGGCCTCTGAGACTCTGAGTCTGAAGCGGGAGAGAATGAGATCAAGATGGGGCCTGTTCAAAGCCAACGTCAGCTGCAGGAAAAGCGGTGATTCAGACGAGGACCGCCAGTGAATGCGCAAAAAGCTCAGGGGTCCTAATATGCTGCCATGGCTCGGGGCTCGAGTGCATACCGTCACCAGCAGCAGGTTCCTGGCACTGAGTAGATCCTCTTAGACTCTCCAAGAAAAAAGGGCACTTTTCACAGCAACCCAAAATTCCTACAGGAAAGCCTATCAGCAGATTGTTCTTATTACTTGGAAAAGAACTTGGGCTCGAAGACTGGGGTGTTATGGAACTGCAGGGAGCCCGAGGCCTTTGCAATGTCTGCCATTGTCCAGACAACAGCGGTGGTAAGTCACGCGTAAGTGAGGCCTTGCTCAGCTCTTTTCTTGTGAAGGCTTTCTGCTGCTCCTTGGTTTTATCTGGCAACCTTCCGGTTTTCCTTGCAAAGAACCAACAGACACAGCCGCCTGGGGGCGCTGTTGCACACCACATTCAGAATTAATCAGCAGTATTGGCTCACCTAGCTGTCATTAGGCTTTTCCTAAGGATTTACTCCCATCAGTCAATCTATTTTTATTGAAAAGTTCCCTGGGATTGTTCCAGCCTCATCCTTAGAAATAAGAACTACTAAACAACACATAGATAGGACGTAAAGCATAATACAAAAAAGTGAAAGTGGCAGCACTTTCTCAAGGTCATGGCAAAGTAAAACCTTTAACCAAGTAGACTTGTCTTGAATTGTGGAGCTTGGGCCTGCAGTTCATTTGGATCTCACTGTTTATTCTTCCCGACTCGTCTACCAGGACCCCTGGCACCCATTCAACACCTACCCCTCTTCTCCTTTCTCTGCTAACAGAAACCAGAGTCAGGTCATTCCAGGGGGAAGGAGGAAATGGCAGAAGAACGCATCCTGAGGAGTCCACGCGCCCCCTGACTCACCCAGCTCACTCTTAAAGGTGTGATCTTGCGGGAGGATGGAGTGGGCGTTCTGGATAGTTCCTCCGCCCACAAACCAGTTCACATTGGGATTCCAGCGGTTCACAAAGCCACATAGATGGTTCTCTTCAAAATCACATTCTGGAGGGAGAGAAGAAAATAGCTGCTGTATTGACACACACTCACATGTGCAGATAGTCTTCCCCCCTGCAGAGTCTGCCTTTGGATATTTTGAGATTCCTCTCTTCTTCATTTGTTTTTTGGCTTTTTGAGACAGGGTCTTGCTATGTAGTTCAGGCTGACCTTGAGCTCACTATGTAGCCTAGGCTGGCCTTGAACTCTGGGTGATCCTCCTGTTTCAGCCTCCAGAGTGCTAGGCTCACAGGCGGGCACCATCACGTCCTCCTCTTTTCTTTTGCCTATTGGAACTTCTGTGCCAGGACTGAACAACTCTGGCCTAGAAAAGAGATCTGAGATGAACTGAGTCCCTTTGAATTGTGGCCTTTCCAAGTATTAGCCCTGAGGCTTGCTGCGTGATTCATTGAACCCTTTAGCCTGCTTCTTCACAAGGGAACTGCAGACAACATTTCTACCGCTAGGGCTGTCTTTAACTATGGACAGCTATGGGAGCAATGCCAGGTACATGACCAGCACTTGGTACAAACTAACCATTTTTGTTTATTCATCTCTATCAAATTAAATTAAATTAAAAATTATCTTTGGCTGATGGGATCAAACACTCCCAGCCTCATCATCTATGTTTTAATGCACTATTTAGGCTACTCCTCTCAGCTCTAGAAAGTCTGCCCACCACCTTTTTCCCCCCATTTCTTTTTCTTCTGAAAGTGTGAACAGATGCCCAAAACTGAGGGGCACGTTTCCTAGGTTCTGAAATCCTCTGATTTTCTTAAAAGCGAGAACCTATTTAGAGTCAGCAGGGCAGACATACTGGAGCTCTGGACCCCTCCTGCAGCTCTCAAGTGTGGAGGAAAAAGGAGATGAAGAGACCCTTCTTTTTTCTAGAGGCACTGACACATTTGCTATGGTTTGTTCCCCATGAACAAGTTTGCTCTCGACCCAGCCTTCCCTTCCCACCTCCTCTGTTCTCCAGGGTATGGCCTGTCTGCACCATGTTCTGCCAGTGGAGGTAAAGGAACAGGACTCTCCAGGGCTAGCTCCCGCAGCCCCTCCACACTACATAGCCATGGCTTGGCCATGTCCCTGTACTGAAGGCAAAGCCTTCTTAAGAAACCCTCAGCATCCAGCTACGGTTTCCACGTTCTTGTGACTCTACCTCCCTCGGCCCTTTGGGCCAAAGCAGAACAATGGCTCATGAGTCCTCGCTACCTCGTCCCATGTCACAGCACTACTCCTTGCTCGTTGCCTTTCCCACTCACCCCTCTCTGGTCTCTTTAATGAGTTTTCCCCAGATTACTCAGTCTGAGTGTACCTTGGTTTCTACATTCCTGCCTGGATCCTAGGCAGCAGACTCATCAATGTGATTTCAGATTGACAGCCATAGAAAATGTTTAGGATTTCTTTTTCCATGCATTGCCTGCCAGCCAGTGCCCAATGTTCAGTGCCCAAGCCTGGCACAGTATATAATAAAAGCAACATATTGCCTGGGGTGCTGGGCACTATTCGAAGCATTATATATGAACTTACTCCTTAAGCAGCCGCAGCAGAGAGGTGCGCTGCATGCCTCATTTTACAGAGGAGCAGTCAAAAGAAGAGGTACCCACAAGAAAAGGGAGTTTGAGAGGGTGATGCACCATTTACAAAATAAAGTGTTGTTCTCCCTTTGGTTTTAAACCAGCGGGAAACCACCACGTAATTTGAAGGAGGGCAACACACATTTCTTGAGTTTTCAGTGCTGTAAAATCCCCATCATAGTCACGATCTCTAGTTTTCATAGGAATCCAACCCGGAAAACATTTCATTCCCATTTTACAGCTGAGGAAAAGAGGCCTAGTGGCTTTGTGAATTGAGGGCACCAGCAGGTGGCGCTGCAGGGAGGGATGAACCCAGAGGGAAGTGCTGTCCCTGTCCCATCTACAGGCCCCAGGCTGAAGGAAGCAACTGAGACATGGTCTCCTCACATCTCATTTTCCATCTGCCTTACTTTTTTGCTGTAGACATATCATGGGAAGATAAAATGGAGAAGTGGGACTCTAGGGAACTGGCAAGGGCTGCTTTTGGTTTAGAATTATTATTATTATTATTTTTTTTTTTTGGTATTTGAAATCGAACTCAGGACCTTGTACTTGGTAGGCAGGTGCTATGTTGCTGAGCTATCTCCCCAGCGCTTTGAATCATCTTTGCGCCTCCACTTCTTTCACACACACCTCCACTCAACCTCTAAGTACTGTCAGTGCTGAAAAATCTCTCAGATGTACGGATGCTTTCCTTTTGCACTGCGGAACCCCCACTGAAGACCGTCATTGCTTCTCCTCTGTAAGGTCCCAGGGGACTCCTGGGTTCCAGCTGGCTCCTTGCCTTCAGCTCCCCCCCATGCTCCTCACCCCTGCCGACTGCTCACATATCACTCTATATCGCCCAGAAGTTCATGCCCTCTATCTAGGTCCAGGCTTTGACTCAGGACTCCCTGAGTGGTACAGCTTCTCCCTTACACACCCGACTCGGCCTCGGGCTTTGCCTGGATGTGGTCTGTCCTTCCTCCCCCCACCCAGGTCTGCCCAGAGACAGCCCTTTCCTCACAACCCCACCTGCACTTACTACACAGACACTGTGGCTGGGGCAGGCAAGGAGAAGGTGAGTGCCGGAGGGTAGGTACTGTCCTCTCTTGATTCCCTCTCAGAAGGTGGCATGTAAGGGCCACCTAAACAACCCTCCCCAAACAGGGCCTAAGTGATAACCATGACTAATCCAGGCAATGGTGAGCCAAGAGCGCAATGGAGGAGAGGAGGTAACCCTGCCTGCTTTTCTGGCAAATACTACACACAGCAGAGTCTACACCAACCCAGAGATTATCCAAGGATGTGTTGGGGTTAGGGTGGCAAGGCTGGGTGCACAGTCGCTGTGTCTACTTTCCTTTCATTAATCTGGGCAGTCCAGGAAAATGCTGACGAGCCTTCCCATGCTAAAGACCGAGAAGCCATGTCCAGCATTCACGTGACCCTCGCAAACAGTTTTAAGCACTACCTAGTGTGCAGCTCCATAGTATGCTTGGTCTTTAGGATTGATTCAATGCCTCTGGCAATGGCAGACTTTAGGAAAGAGATGTTCAGATTCTCATGCAATGAAAAGGCAACTCACCAATACAGTAGCCAGTGGTCATCTTGACTTCAAAGAGGGCAATGCTGGCTGTGTCTCCTTGTCCTAGGACGCCTTCTATTAAGAGCTGTGCAACACATAAGCAAGAAGGGGTGTTAGAATCCAAAACAGAGTATTTCCTGTATTTCAGGTGTCAGGAGCTGCTCAGCAATTTAAGGCAAACAAGATGGTTGGCCTTAGCTCATTGCTACGGGACAAGAATCTGACTGGGGACATTATTAAAAGACTTGAAGAGGTTAGCTCAGGTACCACTTAGGTTCGTACAGAAATCTCATCTAAGTAGGTGGAGGAAATATAGGAAGAAGCTCTTTTAATAAGAAAAGTATTAATCGACATGACTAGTAATCTCCTATGATATATCTACCCACCATGGCAGAAGTTTTACAAGATTTCATATAGGATAAAGCACACATTGTAAGCCCCACATCTTCTTCCTGAACTCCACCTACCTTGAATTTTTTGGAACTGTTTTGCAAATCCAGGCTGGCTATGAGCCAGCTGTCAGAAGGTTCCTTAGCTGACCAAAGCAAGCGGTCAAAGCTTTCATCCTCGTATCTCACATAGAGGTTCAGCTGGCTGGGATCTGACAGAGACCTTGAAGGTGCGGTTATCTGGTAGACCAAGCGGAGGCAGCTCCACTCCTCAGCCTGGAGCTCAGGACTCAGCAGCACGGCTTTCTCCCCCTGCTCGGCAAAGGAGGTGTCCACATAAATGTAATGGCCTGGAAGGAGAGAGGGACACAGGCAAGTGGTTTGCATCTTGGTCTAGCACCTCTGTGTGCAGCAAGAAACTGCAGGTACATTTCGTGAGTCAGTTGGAGGTTACACGAAGGCCAAACTGCCAGCCTTAGGTGAAAAAAGTGAGACAGCCCAGCAACACTGAGGCCCCTTCCACATGTGACAGCAACTGGCTAGAGGAAAGTGGTGCTGCCCCTTCGGAAGGTGGCATGTGTGCTCCCCTTGGCACAGCTCCCCTCCACTTCCTGTCACAGCTCCTGACGTGGAGGCCCCGCGTCCGCTGCCTGTCGTTTTCTCATGGCACTCTTTTCGCACACTGTCCTCTTCTCCCTGCTGCCCACAGGGGTGTCCAGGCTGAGTGGCACTGAGGGGTGGGGAGGGTGCAGCGCAGATAGGTTCGAAGCCTGGGACTGGAGCCAGAATAACCGAGCGCACTCAGCTTTCACCATCCACAGCTCCGTCACGGCCGGTGATTGAATCTGCATTTCCTCTGCATCCTTAGAGCAGACTGCATCAGTGCGTTACCTCAGACTGGATCTTGGGGACAAGGCAGAGAAGGTTCTGCAGAAGCTGTTTTGAAAAGATTAAAAACAAGACTCCCTTCCTTGTGACTCAATCTCAAAGGTCTGAAAACTAAACGACAAAGTATAACAAGTAGCATGGTCATGGACAGCAGCGGACACTCCAGGATCGGGGCCCATCTTCCCCTCTGTCCCCTCTTCTCCTCTCTCACTTCCTCTTTACTCCTCTTCCCCTTCTCCTATTGACTTCCTCTTTGCCTTGTCCTCACTTTTCCTTTCTTTGTCCCCTTGTTCTTGGCTTCCCTCTTCCTTCCAGTCTCTGTCTCTCCACCTAATGTCAACAAGTGGTATTCCCTGGTTGCCCTGGGGTACAAAATGGTATTTTTAGGAAAAATAAGGGGAAGGAAGGTCATTGAAGCCCAGAGCCCTAACCTGATATTTCCAAGCCCTACTCTGGTCTTCTTGCTTCCTATACCAGTGATCTAGTTGCCCGTGCGTCTTTGGGGATCCCCTTCCATGCCTTTTTGGACTATAGGTTCTTCTCTTCTCTTCTCTTCTCTTCTCTTCTCTTCTCTTCTCTTCTCTTCTCTTCTCTTCTCTTCTCTTCTCTTCTCTTCTCTTCTCTCCCCTCCCTC